CTATGACAAGACTGCTTCTGCATCTCAGGGCTTGTGTGCTAGGACAATGAATTAATGAGAACAGATTCCCTGGGACTGAATATAAGTAACGTGACAAAAGCATTTCCAGCCACTGGAGGCTGGTACGCTGGCATGCCCCTTGTCCTCCCAGCCACTTGGGAGGGGCTGCAGGGGCAGCCGGGCTGCAAGTTCAAATGGCTAGGGATGTAACGCAGCGCTGGAGGACGCAACCCTGAGTAGCACTCCTTCAGAGGCCCTGGGTCCAGTAACAACAGTGGTCCACAGAACAACAGCAAAATAGCACTCTGGGAAGAGGGAAGAGTGGGAGGCAGGAGCAGCTTCTCCTCTGGGGACATGTAAAGGCAAGAACAGTGCAGAGGCTGCCAGCGCAGGCTGCGCCTTTGGTGGCTGAGCTGGCCACCCCACTCCCTGCCCGAGGCAGAGAGGCGAAAACCCAATCAGGAGACACTGCAAGCGCCACCTTCCAAAGCTTGAAGCTCTTCCAGCTGCTCCAGTGTGAAACTTGGGTCTGGGAGCAGGAGAGTTTTTAAAATATTTTCTTTCTAATGACGCTTATTGGTCCAGCTCAGGCACACACAGCGATCACGTTCGTCATAAGGCATCAGGACCCGCGCATAAGGCAACTTGAGCCTCCTTTTTTCTGCTCCCCTCTTTTCCCTTCAGCTTTTCTTCCCATCCTTATGTACTAAGCTCCGTTTCCATTTCTTCCTTCTTTTCTCTTTTTTCTTTCCCTCTGGGGCACAGGAGATGCCTTACTCAAGATGCTAGGTTCGGAGCCTAGCCCAGTTTATGCCTACGGCTTAAGGACCGGTTCTAGCCCTCCCCGGCTGGGGGCCTGGCCCATCAGCTTTGGAACTATAATTACAGGGCTGACCTACTTCAGGGCAGAGAGCTCAAAAGAGAAAACGGAGGTGTGTTCTCAGTGCTGTAAAATAGCAGCGGAAGCACTTGCGAGGTGACAGTGAAGATTTATTTACCTTTGTTCTTGGGTGAACAGTGGTGACAGAAAAAAGGACTCTGAAGATTAAAGCCTGTTGCGGGGGAGCAGCAGCACAGAGTGGGAGCCTGCAGAACCCCAACCAAGAGCAGGCCGCTCTCTGCCGGCAGACCAGCCCTCCGCGTGGGAAGCAGAACCTGTGATTCTGTGTCCCTATGCACACCCACCCGCCTTGGAGGACAGCGTACCATGTGGTCAGCAGGGGCTTTCCAAGGTGTGGGGCGTGAGGAGCTTTCTCATGGTCAGTTTCTCATCCTGTAGATTTAAACTGATGAGATTTTGTATTCACAGAACCTAGCAAAGTGCACCCAGCAGTGGTCTCCTGGCTCCTTTCTAGGGATCTCCCAGACCAAGGCTGACACTGCTTTGCAGAATGAACTTGCACAATGAGGAGGTGGGAAGTGGCGCTGAGTGATGCTCAAGCACCTTCGCACAGCCTCCATTTGTTAACAGCACAACCCTGCCTGTGACGCAAGGTCAGATAATGCAGTGAATGGTGGCCTTGACACTGAGTTGTCAAAGCTTGGTTTCTGAAAAACCTATACACCGACTTCTTAGGGATCAAGGCATTGGTCTACTCAGGCACCGCTGGGGAAGAAGAGACATCTAGGACTCCTTCCCGCCTCCCCGCTCCGGCCTCCTGCACAAGGGACACCACTGCACCCAAAGCAGAATTCCAATTTGTGTCTTGGGTTCCCTGCTTTTTAACAGGGCAACCTTGGTGTTGCGACAGTGTCGCTGCGGAGGCTCCCGGGTGGGAGACATACGGCTCGCTCTGGGCTGGCGCCCTCTGAGGCGCCGTCCAGGTCCTCAGCACCTTCCGCGGCAGAACCGAGTGCAGCGAGCCGGAGCCTTTTCCTCCCCAGAGACCCACACATGCTGTTTTTAGCAGGTTTTAGAGCACGACCGCCTTTCATGGTTATGTTGCGTGCACCACTGCGCACAAATTTGGGGGATGCGGAGAGAAGCGAGCACCTCCACTCGAGCCCTGGGGACCCCTCAGCTCTTCCATGTGCAATTTTTTGTTAACAGCATACTCTTAGAACTTTCCTATGTATCCAAACTCAACACTTCTTAAATTTTTTTTCCTAAGAACAAAAAATGTTTTCTTAGTAGAAAACTTGGCAAGAACTGAAAAGCAAATGCATATTCCCCAAACATCCCAACTCCTCAATACACAGCAGTTAACTTTTTCTTTCTTTTTTTTTTTTTTT